AACAAGGCTTTAAAAATTAAGGTCAGTTGGTGCAAAGTTTTATGCTTATTCAAAAAGCATGACATTAGGTTTTTAATGAAAGACTTCTATCTGTTAATTCAAAGGAAATTATTTGAAGGTAAGTAAAAAAGTTATGCATTATTTCAAACAATAGCAGACTGTTGACAAACACTGAGTGCAGATAAGAATAAAAAGATTAGTTGGACGTTGTAATTCAAGCGTATGAACAAAATTTTGAATTCCTTGTAGTAACAAAATGAAGTTCATTGCTATGTTGAATTCTTTAATTTACTGAAAATGTCATTTTTTAGAAGGAGAGAATATATTTTTGAAATATGAAGAACAGCTGTTCTGAGTTCTTCATAGAAATATTTCACAAAATGTCTCTTTTACTGTAATAATATGATCATATCAACATGCAACACGTTTACTCATATAAGTTAAATCTAAAGCAACATGTGTCTATTTTAGCTAAAATTACTAAAAGAAAGTTCTAGAACATATCTTATTAACTGACACTAAAACATGCAAATAAAACATACTATTTTTTTTTTTTTCAGCTATTTTACAGGGCAAATATAAGGAGTAGCATATCAATTTGAACTTTTAAATTAATCAAAATGATAATATGAAAGGCCTTTCAATAATATCAGACATAAGTTTCTCTTCATAAAACAAAAATACTCTGCAACAGACTAATGTTACTTTTTGAAAAAAGAACATTGCTGTTGAAAGCACATCTTTTAAATTAATGCTATTCTGAGGTCAAATTGACTAATTTAAAAAGCCAAACTATTATGCTTCACTTGCATATATCTGTATAATGATATACACATGAAGATATTGTTTTACTCAAAACATCTTGATTTCAATATATTTTATTATAATAAGCATCATTTTAGACAAAAAAAAATCTACTACTTTTATAAACATATCCTTTAGTATTATCTATGAAAAATATATTCTACACACATAATTACTTAATGGGATATTAGAAGGAAATAATCTGAAACCTTTACAGATACAACCATTGGAATTTTACGTAAGAAAAGTATCTTCTACTCACATAATAACTTGCTATAATAATACAAGTAAATAACCTGTAACGGTTACAGATATATCTGTTGAGATTTTACATGAGAAAAACATGTTCTTTTACATAATTATTTGCTGTATATTACACGCAATAATCTGTAACCATTACAGATATATCGTTTGGGATTTACATGAGAAAAACATGTTCTTTTTACATAATTATTTGCTGTAATATTACACGCAAATAATCTGTAACCATTACAGATATATCGTTTGGAAATTTACATGAGAAAAATATGTTCTACTTACATAACTATATGCTGTGATATTACAAGAAAAAGATCTGTAACCATTACTGGCAAAACTCTTGTAATGTTACAAAGAAAACACCTGTTTCTGTTACTCAAATAACCCATGGCATCCCAGTTTCCATGAGTTTTCTTAGTAACTTTACAGATTTTTTTTTTACAGTGCACTTGGAACTATAACGATTTGAAGATGATAACATGCAATACAAATCAATAAGTCCAAAACCTGCTCAGCCTGGTATTGCCGAGTCTATAAACCGTTTTGCCGGGTGATAAACACATATACGGGAAAAGCACATTTAAAAATGTGGATAACAAATTAATACATTAAGAGCAAAGTCTCTGCTTTGTAAAAAAATTAAGGAAACAGAGTCCATATCCTGCTCTTTCAAGTTCTAAACAAATGAAAAAAGAAGATTCGTCCGTGTCAGTCGCGTGGGTGGTCACCCACCCAAGTGCTGACCACGGCAATGATGCTGGGAACTGAGCATGAATTTGAAGATTTAAACTTGAGAAAAAATTAAAATTTTACATTTTGGATTGCGTGATGAATTCGTCTGTATGGAATCGATCTTCATTTCTTTAAGTATTTGCTTGTTCCGAACATACCATGAGGCTTTTAAAATCATATTTAGTAATTTATTTTGAAAAACTTCTAATTTTTAAGGATAGGTTTTAGCAACAATTCCCCAAGCAGGAATACCGTGGGATCGAATCATAGTGAAAACTAGCATACGTTTGGTTCTTACGTGAAGTTTCGAGTTTCTTCGTAAGAGAGGATAAAGGGCAATGACCCGTGCGTTAGCTTTCGTAATTTTATAGTTTAATTTCGTTTTATTGTTTGTTTTTTAAACAAAAGGTGTTCGTCAAAGAGCACACCTAGGTATTTAACGGAGCTTTTAACTGGGATTTGCACATTATTAATTTAAATATCAATGCTGACAAGAGTATTCTTTTTATATCTTCTAAAAATAGCGACTTTACACTTATTTGGGTTTTAATTCTCCAGATCATGAACCAATGATCAGTGATGTTAACTGTGAACTTTAGTTTGTCAATAGCGAGTTGCGGTTTTAAAGACTTCAGAGAGTGACAGTATCATCAGCGTATTTAGCGATTTTGCATTTAATTGCTATTTAGTGCTATGCTATTATAAATATGTTAAATAGGATTGGCGCTAAAGGGCTTCGTTGAGGGACGCCACTTTTAATGTTCTTTCTGTTAGAGAGATATTTTCCAATTCTAACTTGAAATCTACGATTTTTTAAATAGGAGTATATTAATTTGATGAGATTGATAGGAAGAAGTGCCTTTTGCATTTTGAAGGAAAGCCGGCGTGGGTCTAAATCAATAGAATAAATCCTCTAAATCAATGAAATTGGATCAAGCTTCAAATAACTCAAGATGTTTTCGGATCCAAGTCCTTTACCTTATCTATCATCAAAGAAAGCAAAGAGGAGAGAAAACAAGATTTACCTTAGCCACATCAAAGCTATGAAGCCTTGTCAAATATCAGAAAACGTAATTCTCTGCATCAACAAAATAGCGTATTTTTAGAATGAACCTCGGAGTTACATGCCACAAACACGCTAAGCCTAGTTAGCTACACGTAACACGAAAACGTTATTTTTTCAGTTTCATTCGAAATCAAAATTAATAAGTCACACTGTCTTTACACTTATTTGGATTTTAATTCTCGAGATCATGAAACAATGAACAGTGATGTTAACTGTGAACTTTAGTTTGTCAATAGAGAGATGCGGTTTTAAAGACTTCGTGAGAGTGACAGTATCAACAGCGTATTTAGCGATTTTTGCATTTGATTGCTATTTAATGCTATGCTATTATAAAGATGTTAAATAGGATCGGCGCTAAAGGGCTTCGTTGAGGGAAGCCACTTTTAATGATCTTTCTATTAGAGAGATATTTTCCAATTCTAACTTGAAATGTACGATTTTTTAAATAGGAGTATATTAATTTGATGAGATTGATAGGAAGAAGTGCTTTTTGCACTTGAAAAGAAAGCCAGCGTGCCTCTAAATAAATAGAATAAATCCTCTAAATCAATGCTTCAAATAACTCATTAATAACTCATTGATTATAATATATTCATTGATTAAGCTTCAAATAACTCATTGATTAAACTTCAAATAACTCAAGATGCTTCCAGATCCAAGTCCTTTACCGTATCCATCATCAAAGAAAGCAAAAAGAAGGGAAAACAAGATTTACCTAAGCCACATCAAAGCTATCAAGCCTTGTCAATATCAGAAAACGTAATTCTCTGCATCAACAAAATAGCGTATTTTTAGAATGAACGTCGGAGTTCATGCCAAAAACTCACTAAGCCTAGTTAGGCTTAGCTACACGCAACACGAAAACGTTATTTTTTCAGTTTCACTCGAAGGCAAAATTGCTTCTAAGTCACACTAGTTGGACTATCACTTAAATTGCACTTAACATATTATACTTAATTACATTTTAAATGGCTAATATTCCATAAGCGGGATAAGTTGGCGCCAAACTATTTTGGCCTGCAAAATTTGGCGAATTTTTTGGCGGCAAAGAAAGCACTAAGATGTGATTTTTAAGTTCAACCAGTTTAAGTGTTAAGTTTTAAGTTTTGCAGTAGTGAAACGCCGTTATTTTATGTAAACAGAAAAGTAAAATGAGTTCCTATCTACGTAATTCATCATAAAATAGTATAATGAACAATTATTTTAAATAATTATTGAGTAAATAAATATATACACTTATCAGATCAGAGAACTGCGAAGTGAGTTTTAAACGTAAGTAGAATAGCAAATTTTTGTTTACAGTGGTGAACAGCGATTATTCTGCGCAAACAGAATAGTAAATGAAATTGATTAAATGATAAAACAACGTGCATCAGCTTTGTAAGTAAAAACAAAGTCCTGTCTTTGCTACTAAATAGCAAATATATTGAAATTCACAAATAACGGATGCATCATATACTCACTAAAATATTCAAGTTACTATCGTTGTAATTCAAGTTACTATGGACTTTAAAATCTGAAATCTTTCAGTTTAAAAAAAATGTTTTTTTCCCCTCCATGAAATCGCTTTATTTTCATACTTGCTGCTCTGGTGTATCTGCCAAACTGATGTCGTTCCCTGTTACACGTGACTCTTGGTCACGCTCCCTTTCACCAACTAGCCTGTCCCCCGAAACTACATTCAACATTCGCGCACCTGCTGCGCTCTTTGAAGCATGATTTCAAGACAGCCAGAACAATGCATGCGGCATATTCAATGGGAATTGGATATGAGCATCAGGCAGCCTCAGTTTTCTATGATGAGCGAATTTAGCAGTGTGGAAGCTATAAGTATATTCGATGGATAAAGTCTGTTAGCCTTTAATTTTTAAATCCTGTCAATAAGATCATAACGATGTGTATCTCCAGAAAGGAGAAAACAAATTAAAACTTGTGGCTTAACAATTTTCGCTGAATACAATTTGCAGATTAAATACTTCGGAAACTTCAGTAAATCTAAACCTTCTGCAATAAATGGAAAAACTAATAAATAATCAACAAATAATAATACATAATCTACAAAATAACCTGCAATAAATAGAAGAGGAAGACTGCAGAAGTTTTAAATCAAAGTTTCAGCAAGAATTTAATCTTCAAATGTTTAGATTAATGTATTAAACTTAACATAACTCACCATTTGAAGCAAAGTTAGATATTTTTTCCACCATAGGTATTTTTTCATGTGTGGGCCTATGGCTGCCAATCCGTAGTATGTGTACATTACCACGTGAACTACTGCGTTCAGAAGCACAAGCATGGCTTGCATGCCACCTAAAATTCAAAAAATAATGTATCTAAAATGCAACACTTGGTTTTCTCCATATAATTCACATGGTATTGTTAATTATAAAAACATAAATATCATGTAAATGAGAATTTTGAAATAAGAATAGAATGATTAAATGTAAGAATAATGATATTTTCATACATTTAAGACGTATTCGCTGTATAATGTTTTTTCCGAGTGCAGGTTACGCATGATGGAAATTTAGATTGAAGGTTAGATTGACGTTAATTTTATAATATTTATTTCCGTTAAATTAACCAGAAGATGTGATTTAGATGTTTACTGCAGGGATGGCGAATTATTTTCGATTAATGTGACAGTTAAATTATGGATTATTATTTTCAAGTGTCCAGTGTGCCACTTATTATGTTTCTTTTTTTAAAAATCATCTTTAAACCTCTGATTTCAAAGTATCGAGCTGTACGTTTTAGCTATATTTACTGTTTAGTTTAACTTGCTTGTTTAGCTACAAACTTTTTTTAAAATTAGAACTTAAATGCAAAACTCTTCATGTTCCACGAAGTATTCACGAAGCTTACAGATGTATGTAAATAACTCATAATACAAGAAGATACAATTCAACAATAAAAACATAATATCGAGGTCCGGAGAAAGAAAAGAAAAATATAAAATGCGAATACTATTACAATAAAAATACTTAAATATACCATGAATATCTAAACGATATTAATACTCTTTTAAAAGAAAATAAACCAACTTAATAATATTAACACAATAATAATAAAAATTAAATATTACCTAAAATAATGCTGATACAAAGGGAAAATGATACTTAAACAGTGCAATACATAACGCAATCATACATAGACAATGCGCAAAATAATACAATAACAGATAAAAGATTAAAATCCAATCATATAAACAATAATAATAAAAGTTCAAACAACAAATAAAGACTGCAGAGGAGGCTTCGGAGCTTTTAACAAGATCATGGAAAACAGGATAACAGCAAATAGAGAGCTGCCCTAGGCACATTTTAAATGCCCTTCTGGCACATGCATGCAACCTACAATGTAATAAAATGTGTTCCGTATCTTCCACAGCATCACCACAAGCACAGAGTAACAATATTGAAATGAAGTAAATAAATTTCAAATTTCCCATGACGGGTCAAAAAACTTGCTGTTTAGTTACTAACTTCATAGGGTTTCTCTTAGCTTGCATAACAAATTATTTTAAGTTTGATACCTTTCTTGAACTCCTCAAATTCCCCTCGCATTTCCTCGTCAGGATGTAAATTTAAAGTGAACTGAAGCGAGTATTTAAACTGGTGAATCTCTGCGTTTATTCAGAGCGTGTTTTCGCTAGCCAGCGCACGTTTCGTTGCTATCTCGCTGTTACACTAGCTACAAAATATTACTGGATGCTCATTGGTCCATCCTAGAAGCCACTCCTTCGGTAACTACACAGATGTGCACTTATGAAATATGCCTCCTGTTCTACTGGGCCGGTTGACGAAATTCAAATTGTATTTTACATCTCTCGACAGCGGGACTTAGAATATATATTAAATTTATATATAGCTTTGTTCTAATATAGGTATTTTGACACAAAATAGGACTTTTTCTGAAATAACATAGCAATTGTTTTCCGCATTTCGATTCTACGACACAAATTATGCCAAACTGCCAAGTTTTGTAAAAATCGCACGGGTAGTTTTTTTTAAAACATTACATCTCAGAATTTTAGCTTCTCAATGTTAATTAAATTTGGTATATATTTATTAATCACTCATTTTTATTAAACTTATTTGATTCTTCCTTTCACATTTCGAAATTTAGGTTCATTCCAAATATAATTCGCCATTTTTTATGATTTTTATTTTTAAAATACGTATTTTTAAATAATTTTTATAATTTCGAAAAACATTTTCAACTATAATCTATAAAACTTTCACCATCATCTTAAAGTAGACGTATTTCTAAACATACCTGGAAAAAATTACAGTTTTTTTTTATTCAAAACTATACGGTATAATATATACTGTATATTATATTATAATGTATAGTATATATTATCTGTTTGCTGAGGTTAAGCCTAAACTTCCTGTACGGTTTATATTATGATGCACAGTATAGTGAAATAGTATACAGAATATAATGCACTATATTCATATTATATATATTCATATTATCAATTATAAACAATTGATAACATGAAGCATGTTATAAACAATGTAACAATAATAATTTATAGTAAGATATATCTGTAATGTACAGTAAAAATTATAGTATAAAATATGATTATCTTTAATAAATCCTATTATAGCAATAAACAAAGTAGCAATAGCAATTTATAGTAAAATAAATCTGTAATGCACAATAAAAATTATAGTATAAAAATGGAAGAACTTTAATTTTAAAATTTTCCAAATAATGTAAAACTGCTATTTAAAAAATGATTCGCAAAAAGCTTTTTATATGTTAATACTAATTTAGTTTTAGGTGTTGGCTGAAAAGCAACATTTTATATTTTATTTTATTATTTAATTTCCTTTAAACGAAAATGTGTCAACGTACTTGTTTCTGTCCTGAGTATAACCCAGCCAATTACAGGCACAACAGTATGATGAAACACATGTAAGAATGTTACTAAGTGCCACTTTTTGCGTAGGATGAAAAACACCTGAAAATAAATTTGAGTTAAAAATTTTTCATTAGTAGAATTTTCAGTACAGTTGCTAAAGCAAAATTACGAACAAAATTTGTATATAATACATTCGTTTACTTTTAAATGGGATTACGAACACTTTATCTACTTGTTTTTTCTGGTTTCGCCCACCAGCGGCCGAGCGGTAAAATCGCTGAACACTGGTAGTTCGGTCCGAGGTTCGAATCCCGCGAACGGGCTGGCTGCATGGGCGTTTTCGTGGTTTTCCCCTCGTGTAACGTGTATACGAGCCAGTTTCCCTTAGAAAGTCCTCCACGAAGGCATCCCTCCCCTTAGGCAGATAGCCCTAGTGTGCTTTGCCGTATTCTCAATACACAATTTTTCTGGTTTCGAATAGGTATAAAGATCAGGGGCGGGTAACCTTTTACGTCCATTGACATGAATTTTGAGAAAAATAAATTTTTAGTTTGTATAACTTCAACGATTAAAAATACTGTTGCAAAATAATGTAAAGAATTCGTAATAAACTTTAAACCTTTAATTAGATGAAATTTGTTTTTTAAACATATATATATATATATATAATTAAAGAAAAGAGAACAAACTATAAAAGAGCTATGGGTAAAAACTTTGAGCACTGAGCTGCAAAATTTAGAAAAAAGTTAAATGAAAATTCCTTCTTCGGACGCTAAAAAGTTGCTTAGATACTGTGGCTCCGTGAAAATATTAACATAAGTAAAATAAAGTGCAATGAAATGTGTAAACAAAATTAACAATATAAACACTTGAATTTTAACATATAAAATTCAATACTAATTGTAAGCAATATGCTGATCAAAGTAAGGCATATTTTAAACATTAGAATTAAATTGCGACAAAAATACAAAAACAACGAAGCTGTAGATGGTAGATTAGCCCAATTCGAATCTCATTAAGGCGCTTGATGGAAAATAATTTTAATGATTTTCGAATCCAGCTAACTCCATATCGCTTTTCGTTTCGTCGAAAATAGAAGAACTCGAGACTGTACACGAAATACTTTTTATAAATTAATTGAAAAAACTTCGCCATAAACATTAGTCTCAATTCTAGAATATGTGAAAGATAAAGAATATGTAAAAAAATAAGGTAATGTAAAAGATAAAATTTAAATTAGCAGCGTAAATTTATTTCCCTTCTCTATTCTAAAACCATTAATCTCTCTTTGCACTGCGCTGTTTCGAGATTAATCCATGCCACATGACTCTTACATAATTCTGATGATGTAAATGGAACTAAAACTCAAACAGCCAATAATAGCCAGTATTCATTATCCAATTAAAAGGCATTGAGAAACAAAACTAACTCAGTCTGAATTTAGATTTCATCCTGAACATAACACTCGCTCGCTACTCTTCCACCTAGCTGAATTGCTGCTTCCTTCTTACTGCAAAGTTATCAAAAATATAAACCTCTTGAAATAAGTAAAAATAATGTGCCAAGTTGTTTGTGGCGACAACATGTTTACTAAAATAAATTAAATTACTTTATCTGCCTTGACTGTGAGTTTCCTATTTAATCCGAATCGGCATTCGCCGTTTATTGCATGTACTAGAAAGCCCGGCGCTCATACGAAATGACCGCTATTATAGATATGATAAATTGTAATTAAAATGATTTGAGAAAAGGTGTCCGCTAATTCAGACTGAATTACCCAGGGCAGGCGGCGAGGACGCTTCTTTTCTTACTACCCCACGGGGTTTCCCCCTTCTACTTGCTTAATTGCTTAAAGTAAAGTGCAATGAATGAAACCACTGGTGGTTAATTTCTACCACTGGCCACCCCTAGCTCAATGAATAAAGGTGATTTAAATAATAAAATGGTAATTCAAATGTCAAAAATCTCTTTGTACACAACATTTCTTGTGTAGATCTTTCCATCTTTTTTAAGCTCGCCATCCAGAGGACCATCCGTTATTTTTAATTTTACTTCCGTTCTTTCACGAACTCTTGAATCAGGTAACATAAAGTTGACCGTGTTCCAAATGCAGGCTCAGGTAAAAAAAAAAAATGCCAACACGCTTAAGCGTTTGGCCCTGGAGACTTATTGGATGCTCATAGCAAAGGCAAGTTTTACAGGAAATTGTTTACGTCTCAATTGAAACGGCAACTCTGTGCCATGGGCACTTCATCCCGTAGGCTAGTACAGTTATGCACGCAACCAATAAACTACAATCGGGCGACGAACAAACACTTAAGCCGCATATATATATATATGGGGTGAATGTAACATCATCTCCTCCGAAACGGCTGGCTTCCGGGCTTAGCTGAAGCACACCGTTGGATTCCGCAGGTCCGTGGCACGCCATTTTGACCATTCGCGTCTTCTTGGGACTTATTATTGGACTTCTTGGAATTAAAGCGAGATATTAATTAAAAACTAATTTTCCCCTACGTTTTCCCTACATTTTCCACTTTCTTTCTTCGGTTTTCCCTATTGAGGGGATTTGACTAGGTGACAAATTCTTTTTTCTCTAATATCTACGGAACGGCGCCGAGTTGAAATTTCAAGACGCATATCCTCGGATTCCCCCCCCCCCGAAAAAAAAAATCCAAATAAATCGATACAGTTCTCGTCTTCGTACGACTTTAACGGCCGAGATATTAATTCAAAACTGCGGAAACGTTAATTTCGGCGCTCATTTTTCCGAGTGGCAACAATAAACTATCGGCGACACACACTTTATCCGCTTAGATATATAAAGATATGTAAAATAGAAAAAATGCGATGGCTTTGTTCTACGCGAACTGTTAACCTCTAATTAACTTTCTGCAATTTCAGGATCTATCCCTAAACCAGTGCTTTCGAGAACATTCTGGTATGTTACCTAATTCCTATTATAAAAGAACAGTTCGCGCCATTTTTTAATATTTTTTCCCCGTCAGATTTCTTTTCTCCTCCTGCCGCTTGGTGTCAGGGGTTCATGTGGCCCCTCACCCTTCCCCATGCTATCTTGGGATGCTCTAGACAAGGGAGACGTGGCGCTATACCAATTAACCGCTATGGTAGAGGGGTAGTGCTCGCGTCCTCCGTCACTTATCACTTTGTTTGTATAGTATGAGGCAGTAAATTTAAAGCTAATCGTATTCAGTCTTAATTACGATCGCATATGTAATCTTGGAGAATCTAAAAGAATAATGATTTACCATTTGAATTGAATAAAGATGCGGACTCAAAACTGCTAACCTCTTCTGTGTCATCATTTCATGCCAAGCTTTATGTGTGTGCCCGACTGCCAAAATATGACATATTTATAAAATAAGAGCAAAACGAATTTTTTATTTTATGCAGTTAAAATTCTTCTTCTCCAGTTTTTTCCTTTTAATCTCAAGAGCACTAATTTTATTTGGTATCATAATTGTGACACTCTTGAAGGAAATTCTTTTCTGTTATCTAATTTTTCTGGTCTTGATTCAGCTTTGATTTTTCTTGAATTTCTTGAATCATACGATATTTGATTTTTTTGTTTTGCTCATGTTGTGTCATTTTGTGATGTTTAACTCTACTCGCAAGTGCATTTTCTTAATAGCTTTAAGGAATAATCAGAAAATCTCCTTTTCAGGCAGCTGATAAGCACAATATTTTAGAAATAGTTTCCTCTAGAATTGCATATTTTCGGTTTGTTATGTTTATCTCTGAGGTCTACTGGTGCTTTTCCGTCAACGGCCGAAGCTTCTGTTATTTTTTTAACCCGATTTTTCGTCAGGCCGGGGAATGAAACAAAGACATTTATGAAAGCTTTCACATTATAAAGTTCTAGTTAATTTACGGGTCCTTGTCTACTAGAACGTTAGTGAAGAGTCTAGCAACTATCCGCTGATCGAGACCAAAGAAGGGTTATTTATTCACTCACAGAAATAATACAGTCGGCCCCTTCTCGGGCTTACAGGAAAGCCTCCAGTTAGGTTTTTTGCTTAAGATAAAAAATAAGCAACTGAACTAATTCTAATTAACTGAAACTTTAACCGAAGCTGTACCAAAATAACTAAACGAGTTGGCCTGTAATTAAACGTCACCGGCGAATACTAACAGGCACGTAAGACTACGATCGAACGTAGTAAGTTAGGCTTAAAGCAATGACGTGGCCCGAAGGCAGAACACGCTCTAATGAGAACTTCTGAGCTCTTCTCCGGAAGTGACTGAACTTCGTATTAAATACGCTTTCTACTTCATTTACATAAAACGCAATACTGAAATCTCATTCTGGCAGGGAGTTGTAGGTTGAAAACATGTATTTAAAGGAAAGGGTTCGTAGAGTCATTAGGTTATTTTTATGCTGGAGACGTGAAAAATGAGCAATGTCCTCGCCTGGACATGAACCTGTACCTTCTCAAATACTCCCCGCGTGTTCTACCGTTACACCACAAAGGCATGCAGAAAGGAAGGAGAAAATATCTTACAGATTGCAAAATTAAAAATAACTATAAGGCTGTTAAAATAATCCCTACAACATGATTACACTCCTCGTCTTGGAAACAATGCACTCGATAAGAATAAGAAGCATTATGTTTCCCAAACGAGAACGTTGGCCTACCACAGGCAAAAGTGCAATAAGCCCGACAAGGTAATGATTTTGGATATTATAATTCTCAATCTATTAAAAGCTTTGAGAAATCGTTGTTTTTCGCTCTCGCAAATTGAAGGAAAAACATTGAAAACATTTCCGCTTCCAGCCAGGTTCTTACTCATGTGGGTTGCTCTTAAAACTTTCACCAACATTGGGTATTCTTCCTGCTTTCTTCCTGTTGTTGGCAGAAAACTCGGTCACTGAACCGGAGCCCTGCATGGGAAGTTCTGTTGTTGTTACCAATCTCATTTGACTGACAATGGTCAGAACAAGCCCACAACATTAATCGTGGCAAGTAGTCAAATGCAACTGCCGTTGGCAAGAGCTTTGAGCACTGTATAGGTTACAGCCCGACTTCAGATCAGTTCTGCCCTCTGACAGAGAGCACCCCGGGGAGACGGGTCTAAAG